TCCTTCCTCAGATGAACGCCTCACAGCTGAGGAGATGGATGTGCAGAGGCGGCAGAATGTCGCCTATCAGTACCTGTGTCGGCTAGAGGAAGCCAAGCGGTAAGCAGAGTCCAGAAAGCTGGCTCCTTTCTAGTCTGCCTTTCCCATCTCTCCTAACCCAGGTGCCTTCTCCCAAAGCACATGCAATGGGAAAAGGGGAAGGGTGAGTTGAAATAGCATCTTGTTTTGTAAAGCAAACCCCAAACATTACATCTTTTTATCTCCCTGCAACCTTCAGTCCATATCCCTAAAATGTATGGGTATTTGTTTATATAACTAGGGTCCTGATACAATTCCCAATTAAATTATCTGTAAATCCCTGGATAATTAGTATCCAGGCCATTTTCAAATGCTTCTGAGTGTCTAAAAAGAAAATCTGGCTGGGCACTGGTGGCTCATACCTGTAATCCTATCTACTCAGGAGGCTGAGATCTGAGGATCATAGTTCAGAGCCTGCCCTGGCAGGAAAGTTCATGAGATTCTTACCTTGTCAAACACCAAGAAATAGGAAGTAGTACTGTGGCTTGAGATGGTAGAGCACTAACCTTGATTGCATAAGCGCCCTGAGTTCAAGCCCCATGACCAACAACAAAAACAAAAAAAGTAAAGAAAAAGAAAAAAGAGAATTGACATACACTTGTCTCTGATCATCTTTTTTTTTTTGTCAGTTGTGAGGCTTGAACTTCAGCTCAAGGCTAGCGCTGCTCTACCACTTGAGCCACAGGGCCACTTCGGGTTTTCTGGTGGAGATAAGAGACTCACAGACTTTCTTGCCTGGGCTGGCTTTGATCCTCAGATCTCAGCCTCCTTAGTAGCTAGGATTACAGGCATGAGCCATCATCGCCTGGCTTTTGGTCATCTTTTTTTTTTTCCATTGTGGGGCTTGAACTCTGGGCCTGGGCTCTGTCCCTCAGTTCTTCAGCTCAAGGCCAGTGCTCTACCACTGGAGCCACAGCGCCACTTTGTTTTGGTCATCTTTAATCTAGGCATCTCATCTCTCCTTTTTAGAATTTTTTTTTTATGTCATTGACGTGTTTAAAAATCTAGATCACTTTTCCTGCAAAACATTCTACATTCAACTTGTTTCCTCTAGACCCTGTATTTCCTATAAATGGATATTGGCTTTAAAGAGTTGATTAGATTCAAGTTTAACAGTTTTGACAAGACCACTTCCTGGGTGATGGTATGTTTCACGTCACCTCTCATAGGAGGAATACAGTGTCGTTTGTCCCACTTTAAGTGATGTTAACTCTGATCTAGGAGTTCAGGTGATTAAATTAGTCTCTGTCATGAAGCTCTCCATTAAACCTTTCACCTAATGACTTCACCCTTGTTGGTCCTCATGAGAACCTATTGTTTTATTGGGGATGTAAAGTGACTAAATTTTTTTGGTGGTTCTGGGGAATTGAATTCAGGGCCTATTTTCAAAAATGGTATTTTTTTTTTTGTCAGTTGTGGGGCTTGAACTCTGGGCCTGGGCGCTGTCCCTCAGCTCTTCAGCTCAAGGCAAGAGCTCTACCACTTGAGCCACAGCACCACTTCCAGTATGGTGCCAAGGAATCGAGCCCAGGGCCTCATGCATGCAAGACAAGCGTTCTACCACTGAGCCACCTTCCTAGCCCTAAAATGGTAATTTATTTTATTTTATTTATTTATTTTTTTGGTCATATGGCTTGAACTCTAGGCCTGTACCTGTCCCTGAGCTCTTCAGCTCAAGGCTAGCGCTCTACCACTTGAGCCACAGTGCCACTTCTGGCTTTTTCTGCTTATGTAGTGCTGAGGAATCAAACCCAGGGCCTCATGCATGCGGGGCAAGCACCATGCCGCTGAGCCACCTTCCCAGCCCCTAAAATGGTAATTTCTAAGACAAAGACAGGACAACAGGTAAAGGACCTATCCTCCTTCCCCTTCCCCATTATACCTCTACATACACCTGCCCACTTGTAATATAGGAACTCTTGCTGTCTAATCCAGGATGCAGTTCAGGTCAATGACTTCCTGCTATATGCCAGGAACCATGCTAGGCACTGGGGATCCAAAGCTGAACAGGCTACTGATGATCAGGGAGCCAGCATATACTGCCTTCTCCCTACTTCTGGGGAACTTCTCTGTCTCCATCTCTATTTTCTGTCTGCTGGGTGGAAACTTCATATCTTGCTTTATTTCCCAAAGTCCTCTTAAGCATTCATCTCATCAGCATGTGTACTATGTAAGTATCTTTCCCCTTCAAAAGCAAAACCTTTTCTGCATTCTCCTCCCAGGAGACAGAAAAAGAAGTTGAAAAGACCCAGCTTTGAGCTCCTGGTCCCTCCCATCAGCTGCCTTTGTTCTTAAAGACAAGATCTCAGTATGTTAGTCTAGGCAGACCTCAAGCTCCAGGTCCTCCTGCCTCTACCCCTGGAGGTACTAGATTACATATATACCCGGTATACACACACACACACACACACACACACACACACACACACACACACACACACACACACACGTATAGGTATATGTATATATGGCCTTTTTTTTCTTTTTTCTTTCCTTTTTTAGAACGTCCAGGCAGAATTTCTGTAAGTAATGTATTCTCTTTTATAAAATAGTCCCTGAAGTGGGGGCACAGTGGCTTATGTCCTTAATCCTTGCTACTTGGGAGGCAGAGTTCAGGAGGATTGCAATTCCAGGCTAGCTGGAGTAAAAAGTTCAGAAAACCCCATCTCAACCAATAAAAGGCTAAATACAGTGCACACCCATCATCCCAACTCATGGGAAGTGTAAATAGGAAGATTGTAGTCTAGGCCAGCCCAGGCATAAATTTAAGATCTAATTTCAAAAATAATGAAAGTGAAAGGGCTGGGGTGTGGCTCAAGTGGTACAACCCTGGCATAAGTAGTACAAGGCTCTGAATACAGAAAAAAAATTATCTGTAGAATTGGGGATTTAGCTTAGTGGTTGAGTGTTTGCCTAGAAAGCATACTAGGCTTGTTCCTTAGCACCAAGAAAAAAAAGAAAAGCCTTTTTTTTTTTTTGCTTCTAAAAACACCCAGAGATCCTGACTTTCAACCCAGAGGCCTTTCTGGCTACCCCCACCCAGTTTTGGGGGGGCCCTGCTTCAGGATACCTTACCTCTTTAGCTTTTCCCCCAGCAGTTCTGGCTTTCTGGAATGGTTCCTCTGTCTTGGGTTACTTTCTCTAGCTCTTAGCTGACAGCCCCCAGGGTTACTAGGCAACTGACTACCTCCCTCCACTCTCAGGGTATCCTTTGAGTGATAGCGTAAGTGGCCTATCCTAGCTAAACACACAGACACCTGAGTTCTATTTCTCTTTCTGCCCTGTTTTGCCTCTGACCCCTGCAGACATGGCAGCTCAAGCTTCTACTTCAAGTAATAAATCAAAGCATCACAGGCTAGGATCATCACTCCCAGCTGGGCTCCAGGCCCTGAGTTCAAACCCCAGGATGAACAACACATACACATACACACACACAAAACATCAATCCCATTCCTTCATTTGATAAAATGACGGCAGTTCAGAGAGCTGGTATGACTTGCTCAAGAACACAGAACCTACTAGGTAGGTGGAATGAAAACACAAGTTTTCTGATTATTCTAGAGATCCTGCCAGTACAAAGTGATTGATAATTCGTTGAGTTTGGTTTTTTTTTTTTTTTGGTGGGGGGAGGGACTGTACCAGTACTAAGGCTTGAACTCAGGATCTTCACTCCCATTTGGCTTTTTCACTCATAGGCTGGCACTTTTACTGTTTGAGCCACATCTTCAGACCAGCATTTTTGCTGGTTAATTGGAGATGGAGTCTTTTGGACTTTTCTGTCCAGACTGGCTTTGAGTTTTAATCCTCAGATCTCAGCCTCCTGAGTAGACAGGCTTAAAGGCATGAGCCACCAACCAATACCTGGCTGATTGATAGTTTAAATGGGCTTTGGCTATCTCGGAAGTAGACCTTTTCATATATGCACTCACATTCTTCCATACTGTGCTCTGTGTGACAGTTTCACATTTGGAAACAAGGTAAAAGGGTGATGATCATAAAAGGCTTGAACATCAGAAGATCCTCCCCGTCCCTGGGCTCCATTTCCTAGCTCCACTGATCTATAACCTCCAGGTCTGCTTAATGAGAGGATAGTAGGCCCCAGGACCACAAGGACCTAATGACCCAACTCAACAAGGGTGGCCTGCATCAGAAAGCAAGTGTCCTCATTTGCTTAGATAAAGGCTTCTTTTAAGTAGAGAGGCCTATGCCAGGAACAAACTATAAGGAAGTAGTTGGGCTTACCAGTATTTGCTCAGCAGACTTTGCCAAGAGCCTGCAATGTTCAGGGAGGTTGCAAGGGTACCATTTAGGTACCCATGCCCCAGGCAGTCTCTCTAGAATGCTATCACAGCCTGATCAGGGCCAAATACAAAGTTCAATCAATCCTTCACTCAGCATACTTCCCTTAAGGAAGAGGGTAGGGACTAACATCTTCTCTCACCAACATTCCAGTGACCCCCCAATGATCCAGTGATCACTTCTGGATTGTTTACTTGTTTGATCCCCAGCTCAAAGCATTCTTGCAAGTTCCTCTTTTCCTCTTTTTATTTGGTTTCCTACATCTACTATGGCTTGATCTGTTTCTGTCAATTACTTTTTTTCTTTTTCTTTCTTGTTTTTATATCTATCTATCTATCCATCCATCCATCTATTTTTGCCAGTCCTGGGGCTTGAACTCAGGGCTGGGTACTGTCCCTGAGCTTCTTTTGCTCAAGTCACATTCCTTACCCCCCACCTTTTTATCACTTGGGCCACATTTTCACTTTCACTTTTGGATGGTTTATTGGAAATTAAGAGTTTTACAGACTTTCTTGCCTGGGTTGGCTTCGAACCACAATCTTCAGATCTCAGCCTCTTGAGTAGCTGGATTACAGGTGTGAGTCACTGGTACCTGGCTCCATCTCCTTTTCTGAGTCCTTTGCCTACCTCCTAAATGCTAGTGCTCCCCAACACTCTACCCTTTGCTATTTTCTCTCCTTTTATATATTCTTCTTTTTTTTTGTCAGTTGTGGGGCTTGAAC